TTGGGATTTGTATTTCCGGTATTCAGTGATTAGTCTTTTACAAATGTCATCTCATTTTATTTATTCTTAAGAATACTTGGCGATTAGTATATTTCTCCGCACCTAACCACACTTTGCTTCGGAATTTCTCATTTTTTACCTATTCTAATACTAGGATTGTAATGGACCTTTCTCCGAGCATCGACTTCCTTGTTTACTTCGTGACATTGGCCAATCAGCAAGATGTAAAAAGTGACGTAACAATGCTCCCTTTTCGCATCCGCTCAGACACTTTTCTCACTCAGACAGATTTTCAAGCGTGGTCGTAAACAACTACTTCGTTTTTTGCGTTTTTGAACTTTATTCGTTAGTTTTCAGTTGTGTTTCGGGAATTTAAATATAAATCAGATAATTTAATGATCACTCGGTTTTCCACGGAGTTTTAATTTAATTGCAGTAATAAAAAATTAGTGTAGAAATAGCAGTGATAGACTAGACTAAAATTCTTTATCGGTACTTTTAAAAAACAGATTGTTGTATGCGATGAATCATAATGATGATTTGAAACACATACCCCATTTCACAAGCGCCAACTTGCAAAAGCATTCTTAATAATACCCCCGAAAATTTGGCAATGATGAAGAATGGGAAGAATTTTTCGAGGGTCAAAGGTCGGGGAAAGGTCCATAGTGCTTGAATAAAAAACTTAATCTTATGATGTGAAGGCAATTCTGTTTAGTTTGAAATGTTTAAATCAATCTAATTCTATATTCGTAACATTAAATCATATCTTCTCGCTATATTTTACAATTTCATATCATGCATCCTGTTAGCAATGCAGTTTGCTATGACTCTGCATGAGTACTCGACATTATCAAATACATACAAAAAATATTATGTGATCTGGTCACATATGATCTTGAAATTAAGTACAGTTGTTTATGTAGTTAGTGGTATTATCCCTAACTTTATGCTTTTACTTTGTATTGACTAATAAATGATTTATTAATTTCCAGAATACAACGTTGGACGTAAGTTTTTAAAAATATGTAAAATATAAACTAGAAATAACTTTGTATGCAACTTGCTTTATGCTCTGTCAGTGTTTTTACTTTTCAATATATTTTGTGAAAGTAATTAGCTAGGCAAGTGAATATTTGATTTGCATTAAATTTATTTTTTGAATATTAAATCTATTTTGAGTAGTAACGTAATACTGATTCCGTACTGTATTTTTAATATTAAATCAGATGCCCATTTTTATATATTTTACAGTATTACATTATCCTTACTGTCGAATTCCAAATCCCATAAAACTATTTGAAAGTATTCGCAATTATTAGGTACAAATCCTAATAAGAGATGTGGAAAAAAGATTGATATTATATTTAGTTATGGACTTAGGGTCCATGCTGAGATGGTCTGTGAGGACTGAGGATACATTGGCTTGAAATTGTAATAGACTTTAAGATTTTACAAATACCAATTAAAATTTTTCTATATAACTTTAACATAAAGGATTTGAAACATAACCAGTTAGAGTTCTTTTAACCTCGATCCACATATCATACATCCCGTCTACTACGCAGTTTGCTATGACTCTTTATGAGTACTCGACATTAACAAATATACAAAGCATATTATGTGATCTAGTCCAGTGCTCTTCAACCGGGTTAACGGTATACCCAAATGTATGACGGCAATAATTTGGGTATACAACTAATAAAGGGTATACGGAGGGTGTACAGCCTAAATCAGGGATTCTAAACTCTAATATAATAAATTATAAAATATTCAAGCGGAGACAATGCAAACGCGACGCACATGGAATATAAAATGTCATTTATGCAAAGAACCGACGTGAGCATATTGTTAAATCACGAATTTTATAGATAATGCGGTCACATGTCTGGGTTGGTGATTTCGGCTGCCATGCACTTCGTTTGATTTATGTTGAACATTATTCCCGTAGACGCTAATGCCGTGAGTCAAATTTATAATTGCGGACACTGGCCCATTAGATTGCATGTGATATTGCAGTACAATAATTGCTTAAAATTTAATGTTTATTTAAGCCTTAAACAAACATTGGTATTTGTAAGGCATACAAAGTTCTTGAAAAATTGTAAAATGTATACCACGATAAAAAAGGTTGAAGAACACAGATCTAGTCACATATGCTCTTAATGTGAACTGCGGTTGTTCATGTAATTAGTAGAATTGAAGTTTAATTTGATGATTTTACTTTGACCAATGTATAATTTATCATTTTTCAGCATCCCTAGGTGAGTTTTTGAAAATATGTAAAAAAAATAAATAAACAAGAAACTACATTGCAAGCAGATATATATTGATATAAGCCGATGTCCATTTCAGTCACGATGTACTGAAATTACATTGGCGGCATGAAATTATAATAAACTGATTATTTAAGGAACGCTTATCGTCTAAATATTGGAATTTAGTATTTCTCGTATTCAGTGATTAGTCCTCATGTCATTCGATTTATTCTTGAGAATACAATTTTTAGGTATTTCATACTCAATTTAAGATTGTAATAATGGTGTTCAAATAAAAACTTAATCTAATCATGTGAAAACAATTCTGATTGGCTTGTAAGATTTAATCGTTTTTTTCTACATTCGTAACATTGAATCAGATCCTCTTTTTATATTTTACAATTTCATATCATGCATCCTGTTAGCAATGCAGTTTGCTATGACTCTGCATGAGTACTCGACATTATAGAAGATATACAAGAAATATTATGTAATCTGATCACATATGCTCTTGACATTAAGTACAGTTGTTCATGTAGTTAGTTGTATTATACCCTAACTTTATGCTTTTACTTTGTATTGACTAATAAATAATTTATTAATTTCCAGAACAGAACGTTGGACGTAAGTTTTTACAAATATGTAAAATATAAACTAGAAATAACTTTGTATGCAACTTGCTTTATGCTCTGTCAGTGTTTTTACTTTTCAATATATTTTGTGAAAGTAACTAGCTAGGCAAGAGAATATTTGATTTGCGTGAAATTTATTTTTTGAATTATAAATCTATTTTGAGCAGTAACGTAATACTGATTCCGTACTGTATTTTCAATATTAAATCAGATGCCCATTTTTATATATTTTACAGTATTACATTATCCTTACTGTCGAATTCCAAATTCCATAAAACTATTTGAAAGTATTTGCAATTATTAAGTACAAATCCTAATAAGAGATGAGGAAAAAAGATTATTATTATATTTAGTTATGGACTTAGTTATGGATCTCCATTGTTCTTGTAATTTAAGTGCTTTGTTTGTTTTTTCATTGATCTGTAGTCGGTGTAGTGAAAACTAGAACATAACTACCAGTCAAATTGCCAGCGCAATCATTCGTAAACTGAATGTGGCCCTTCGTCCAAAAAGGTTGGACAACCCTGTAGTACATTAAATCAATCTTCTATTAATTCATCAAAATAAATCAATGTTAGATTCAATCTGGTCCAAGTGTGCTTAATCTTGCTCGAAATCCTAATAAACTGAATATTTGAAAAATGCTTGTCGTCTAAATATTGGGATTTGTATTTCCGGTATTCAGTGATTAGTCTTTTACAAATGTCATCTCATTTTATTTATTCTTAAGAATACTTGGCGATTAGTATATTTCTCCGCACCTAACCACACTTTGCTTCGGAATTTCTTATTTTTTACCTATTCTAATACTAGGATTGTAGTGGACCTTTCTCCGAGCATCGACTTCCTTGTTTACTTCGTGACATTGGCCAATCAGCAAGATGTAAAAAGTGACGTAACAATGCTCCCTTTTCGCATCCGCTCAGACACTTTTCTCACTCAGACAGATTTTCAATCGTGGTCGTAAACAACTACTTCGTTTTTTGCGTTTTTGAACTTTATTCGTTAGTTTTCAGTTGTGTTTCGAGAATTTAAATATAAATCAGATAATTTAATGATCACTCGGTTTTCCACGGAGTTTTAATTTAATTGCAGTAATAAAAAATTAGTGTAGAAATAGCAGTGATAGACTAGACTAAAATTCTTCACCGGTACTTTTAAAAAACAGATTGTTGTATGCGATGAATCATAATGATGATTTGAAACACATACCCCATTTCACAAGCGCCAACTTGCAAAAGCATTCTTAATAATACCCCCGAAAATTTGGCAATGATGAAGAATGGGAAGAATTTTTCGGGGGTCAAAGGTCGGAGAAAGGTCCATAGTGCTTGAATAAAAAACTTAATCTTATGATGTGAAGGCAATTCTGTTTAGTTTGAAATGTTTAAATCAATCTAATTCTATATTCGTAACATTAAATCATATCTTCTCGCTATATTTTACAATTTCATATCATGCATCCTGTTAGCAATGCAGTTTGCTATGACTCTGCATGAGTACTCGACATTATCAAATACATACAAAAAATATTATGTGATCTGGTCACATATGATCTTGAAATTAAGTACAGTTGTTTATGTAGTTAGTGGTATTATCCCTAACTTTATGCTTTTACTTTGTATTGACTAAAAAAATGATTTATTAATTTCCAGAAAGCCTCCGTCATGGTAAGTTTTTTTAAAATATGTAAAATATGAACTAGAAATAACTTTGTATGCAACTTGCTTTATGCTCTGTCAGTGATTTTACTTTTCAATATATTTTGTGAAAGTAATTAGCTAGTGAATATTTAAATTGTATGAAATTTATTTTTTGAATTATAAATCTATTTTGAGTAGTAACGTAATACTGATTCCGTACTGTATTTTCAATATTAAATCAGATGCCCATTTTTATATATTTTACAGTATTACATTATCCTTACTGTCGAATTCCAAATTCCATAAAACTATTTGAAAGTATTCGCAATTATTAAGTACAAATCCTAATAAGAGATGAGGGAAAAAGATTAATATTATATTTAGTTATGGACTTAGGGTCCATGCTGAGATGGTCTGTGAGGACCGAGGATACATTGGCTTGAAATTGTAACAGACTTTAAGATTTTACAAATACAAATTAAAAAATGTTCTATATAACTTCAAGATAAAGGATTTGAAGCAGAACCAATTAGAGTTCTTTTAAACTCGCTACACATATCATACATCCCGTCTATTACGCAGTTTGCTATGACTCTTCCTGAGTAATCGACATTATCAAATATATACAAAGCATATTATGTGACCTGGTCATATATGATTTTAGTACAAAGTGCAGTTTTTTATATAATTAGTAACATTATCCATTTAAATTGATGCCTATATTTTGCGTTGGCTAATAAATAATTTATTAATTTTTAGTGGCCTGCTCTCTTGGTAAGTTTTTAAAAATATGTAAAACGTGAACAAGTAACATCATTGTACGCCAATATGCAATTTACATTAATATTTGCAGATATGATATATAAGTCAGATCGTCTCTCTATATTTTACAATTTTTGAATAATACATATTGTCTAACTGCACCGTTTTCTATGATTTTTCATGAGCACTCGACATTATCAAATACGTACAAAGCATATTATCTGATCTGGTCACATATGCTCTTGACATTAAGTACAGTTGTTTAAGTAATTAGTAGCATTATATCTTAACTTGATGATTTTACATTGCTTTGGTTAACTACATTGCACGCAAATATGCGATTTGCTGTCTGGCCTGTCAGTGTGTTCTTAACTTTTTATAAACTTTAATGAAAGTTGTAGGTTAGACGAGTGAATATTTGATTTTAAATTCACTCTTTCGATATTAAGTCGTAGTCGTAACGTAAAATTATTTGAAGATATTGGCAATTTGAAGGTATTCGCAAAAGATTCCGAATATGAAATGGAAAATTGATTGATATTAAATTTAGGTATTAACATAAGGTCCATGCTGAGTGGTTTGTAGTGTGCTACTTATATAGTGATTTGAAATTGTAATAAAATGAAGATTTGATGAATACCAATTATTTATCTTTCTATATTACATCAAATTTTCAGGAGGTAAAGCTGAACCAATTAGAGGTAAGCCTTTACTATCAATAATTGAACTAGAAACTACTACATTTTATGCCCTTATGACTTTACGGTAGTTATATATAATGTTGTTTGAGATATCTTGTGAGATATAAAAGTAAGGTCATTTTTCCCACTGATATGTTCCTGAGCAAAAAATATTCCGTTGGTCATAAGCCCCAACAGTTTAAACAATTCATGAAATTATCATATATACAGATTATATAAAAAAATAATTTTTAGTCAACATAACTTTGAAAATATTAGTAACTCTCTTACCTTGTCTCCGACCAATGCTAAATACTTCTAGAGGTTCATATTTATGGGTGACTGAAGTGAAGCTTCTGCAGATAAATCGTTGCTTAACACCAACTGTAATTATGAACCAACCTAAAAATTAAATCTTTTTAGAAATCTTTGAAAAACTAAGATTTTAAAATATTAGTTATATTATAACAGATACCAGTGCCAACAGTGCAAGTTAAATTTTTCTGCAGTTCGGAGCCGTGCTACCCCATTATTTGTGACTGTACCTCAGGAATATTTTATTACAACTCTCTTGTTGCTTTATTGCGATATTTTTTTATTGGTAGATAGCAGCAGTGAGTCGTCTTTGACTGACAATGAAAAAGGTATGTAGGGTTTTTGGTTTCATCATACATAAAGGTCTATGAACTTTTTTGGTTACCCTTGTTCAGGGAGTAGTAAAACAATCAAGAACTCACCCAAATATCGAAAATCAAAATTGAGATAAAAAAAATTAAAACAATTCTATTCGAATCCTATTATTATGGGGTCTCTGCGAATATTCTTCATCCATTGAACCAGATAATACTATACTATTAATTCAATAACTAATTTTAATGGAACGTAGTTTACTTCTAGAAGTATCAATCACTGCAATTTTTCTGTTGCTTTATTTGATTTTTTTTTTTTGGTAGATAGCAGCAGTGAGTCATCTGACGAAGAACGTGGAGGCGTCGTTGCGGAAAACATTCCAGGTGTGGCCAACTAGATTATCATATATTTATTCAATAACTAAAAATATTTGGACAGAGATCGTTTAGAACAGCGGTTCCTAAATTTTGTTCGTGTGGCGTCAATTTATCAGGAAATAAACTCACGACGCACTTACAAGAAAAAAGGCTTCTTTTCAATAAAACTCAATTTTGTGATCGTAAATGTGTACTTTTATTGAAGTTTATTTAAACATGTATGCCTACCCCGAATAACGGTGAAAGGTAAACTCTTATCTTTGCTTGACTCGCTGCGGCCCTTTGAGAACCACTGGTTTAGAATATCAATCACCACCTAGCCATGAGACGGCGCGGAACACCACCACCATTGCGATTACCATTATCCTTGTAGGCTAGAGGGTTTGTTTCATACTCGGAATGTTTAGAATTGCAAACATGATTCACACGCAATTCTATCCAGACACAACCAGCAAGCAGTGATTTATGTAATGGCGTAAGTGTGCATTTTTTCTCCGACAACGTTTCAATAATTTCGGTACCCTTGGCATTCTGATACCGATTGTATGAATCCTACTTCATTGCGCGACATTTTATATCTATTCCAACCCAGAATAGTAGACGAACAAGTGTGGCGGGTACTTTTCTTGCATTTTGAAAAACACCAAGATGACTAGTCATCTTTTTCACTATAGAAGGAAGAGGATCAAGTTATCAGGCTAGCAATCGTATCATGACTGATAAGCATGGACAAACATCAGTTAAATACGACGAGGAAGGCGAGAGAATGGAAATTGATTATGTCGATGACGGTAAGTTTTTATTTAGTTTTCATTATTTGATGCAAAATTTGTAAATATAACTGATCCAAGCTCGAATATATATATGCCACGAGATTTGCATAACAGTACCGGTACCCAGTACTTTGAATCCTTATGAAGAATGTGTTACAAGATGGAAAAGCATGGTCAGTTTTTTCTTAGTCCCCATCAGTCATATATCGCTTCCACGCACAAGTTGATCACTCACTTGTAATGATGAAATTACATAACCTCAAACAATGAACCTGAAAGCTTTGAATTCAGGCACACCCGGTCTGTATAACATCGGCAATTTTTTTCTACAGAAGATCATCCATTCATGACCCCGGGTAAGTGACATCCGTAAATTTGTTCCCGTTTTGCTAATCCAAGACTGACAATAGCCGCTAAAATGCTCATTAACGGTATTAAACAATAATTAATTTGAACCATTCATATCGCATACACAATAATACCAACAGTAAATTGGCCATAATAGCGCTCTAGCGTTAGACCAAATTACGACTGACGGGCCGGATTTACCATTGAAAATATAGATACAAATAACGTCACAATGGCCCAGATTGTTAAATTGCGCTTATTATTATATTTAATGTTAATTAAGCCTAGCTGTTGTACATGAACTGTTTTTCATTCATAATCATATTTTTAGTTTGGAGCCTCCTGTCCAGGGCAATAAATGAAATCCATTATCTTACTCAGAAATGTAATTGCCCACCCTGCGTTTGTAGGCGTCGTAGGTTATATAGATCAATGTCCTACCTCAATGGCACAACTTCACTTATGTCGTAATGGGTTAGACATCGCCGATCCATACATACGCAAATTATTACTTTTTACCACACAACACTTTCTTATATGACAATGACGACTTTTATAGTCTTTTTTTTAAGTAAATGCGCTAAAATAGAAATTGACTCCTGACATAACTGTTGAAATACATTCAGGCGAAGAAGATAATGATGATACTTCGCATGATAATCGTCAGCAACCTCGAGGTAAGACTTCCATTAGCCAATTCGGAAGAAAATCAAATTTTTTTTCGGAATTCAAATAAATTTTTCAAGTGCGATCAATAACCTCCGACTCAATAGAAAATTTATTAATGTAAAAGAAATATTTGAACATTCAGAATTGTAGAAAAGGTATTAAAAATTCAGTATTGTAAAAGTTTGAATATCGCAGAGAAATTATTAATATAATTTAACGTTATTGAAAAACAGATTTACAGCAATCCATAACAATTCATTGATTTTAGAATGCTTCAAAGCGACAAGGATTTGTCGATTTTATATTCGTTTAATTGTATTCATCATACCCATTCGTCAGGCTTGGCATAAATTAGCACAAAGTTATTAGATTTTTTTTTTGTGTGCTGTTGTAGGTCCCGAACGTGAAGGACCGCAGGTTGAAGAACCACATCGCGACGAACAAGAAAATAAAGAAGAAGATGAAGGTACTGTCGTCACTGTGGTTCGAGATGACGACGACGAACATCAAAGAAAGGCGTTCAAGTCCAGGGAAGAGGAAAAAAAGAAGTAATGAACGATTGAATGAATTTTCAATCACATATCATCTTATTGGATTTTTTAGTTATCAAATATACGTGTTTGAACTAGCAATGATAGAATGAATTTTAAATAACATATCGTTGTACATAATTTTAGGTTTTGAATATACGCGTTGATATGATCGAATGAATTATATATCATCTTATTGAAATTTTGGGTTATTAAATATACGCTTCAAACTAGCAAAATATAATCATCCTATAATAATAAATTTGTATAATTTATTGAATGGATATATTCAGGTTAACTCAGGTAAACAGTAAAGGTGGAATTACAAAGATAGAGATCCAAGAGTTAGCTTTTGGAAATTGTGGTTGAGTTAATAAGACGCGCTTCTAGTAGCGGCAGAGGGTGATATAAGTTTATCATAGGTCGAATAATTTATCAGCTCGCATGCAAAAGTTAAAAAATATTTAAAGGTTTTGTACACGGTTTTAAAATAATACCTGGCACAAAGATGGATTTCATTCAAGCTGCCGCTAGATAATCTGGCTCCAAACGTCCTCAACAAAACCGACAGGTACATTGAACAACTGTGTTTAGAAACTAAGTCATCTAAGTCACCATCACAAAAAAGGGGGGATGAAAAAACAATGCTCAAATAAATAGATAGAAAGGCCGAGACGAGATATTTTAACCCCGGTTTTCCGAAACCCCATTCTGAACAATGCGAAAGTATGCTGAACATAGCTGTATAAAATAGATTCAATGAACAAAATCATATAAACAGTGACGTAGCAAGACTCTCGTGCCCCCCCCAAACCCCCCCGCAAAAATAATTCGTGGAAATGACCATAAAAACTCTCGGACATAACACAAAAGCTAAAACAAAGTTTTTTATTTTATTTTGTCAAAAAGCATAACATGTTGCTATAAAAAGGCTATGGTAACCTAAAATTTGCGCTTTCGTGTTAGCAAACTCATCCACCATCTTCGTCATATCAATTTTGTCAATTTGCTCCATTAGTAGCTTACCTGTGATCATTGTTGTGTAAGTTTTTGAAGAAAATTCATTCGCGCCGGCGCCATCACTTTTGAAGATTGAACACGCATCTGGTTTTCTACCGATACCACCGGTGCTAGGCTTTTTTCATCCTCAGTTACGTTCGGTATTCCCAAGTCTAATTGTTTCAATTTGGGTTTAAATATTTCGTTTATCTTGGTTACTTTAGTTTTTTTTATACGTCCTTCTTCTTCTGCCCTTTATTCTTCGTTTTTGTGCGCCACTAAGTGGTTTTGCTTTCGACATCAATATGACAGCCTTCGTAATTGTGGATGCGATGATGCGATCAAACCACACGACGCGGAAAATCGACGACATCGGCATTGTTACGTAACAAAACGATTTATATATACAGAACTAACATCAACATTATAAGATGTGCATTACTGCTTTTGCAATGCAACTTTTGCCTTTGCAGCTTAAATTTCTAAATTTTAACCGCTTGGGGCCCCTTTTCGCTGTGGACCACCCCGCGACGGTCGCGGGGGTTGCGGGGGTGGATGCTACGCCACTGCATATAAACCTGAGATAACGTGAGATATATTTAATTAAATACTTGACCGTATTTGTTTCCTCGAGCATCGACTTCCTTGCTTACATAATTAGGTAATCGGCGAGATGCAAAATGTGACGTGACAATAGACGTTTAGCAGCCATTCGGGCACTTTTGTGAATCAGACAGATTTTTAGGCATGGTTGTGAACATGAGCTCGTAATTCAGTTTTGGCAAGCTTTTTGTCTGTTTTTACTTGTGTTTCGGAAATTCCAGTACAAATCAAATACCTCTATGACCATTTTGTCTTCTCAGTAGTTTTAGTTTAGTTGTAGTAATCAAAAATCAAAGAGCTGACACATTGAGCGAGATTTATAATATTCATGAAAAGTGAAAAAAGTAACATCAAAATCATTCTGGTCAGAGTGGTTTGCAGGTATATGGACTGGCTGGATTTATAGATGAATAAATAGTAATCGTTATTAACGATGTTACTTTATTACTACAGCTGCACTACCGTTTAGAGGTGAGTGTTTGTAATATACAATCTGAATGTAATATTGCTTTACTTACGTAGATACGGCACTGCTTAGTCGGGTAAGAAAATTGATTTTGTACTTTACCACGTTAAAATTTTTTTAACAGTCCTATAGCACTGAAAAGGTCGGGTCCAACGACTCCCGACCGTATGAACTTAATGTACTCAAAGTCTCGCGACAAACGAACTTTTGGTGAATGTTTACCGCGAATTTTTTCTGCATATCCCCAGGACAAATGCAGTGTTATATCTCTCGTTGTAGTACTTCCTGTTCTACGTTGACCCCTCACCTTACAAAAAGCAACAACAAACTTATTCTGTATATCTATAATAGTATTTTATAAAATTAATATCACACAAAAATCAAAAATATGAAATTAAAATCGAAAAATTAAAACAATAAGAATCACATGGTTGGTTTGTCATACAAATGGAGTCGCCGCCACTAGATTGTCAGTGGTTTCCAAAAGTTGATTTACCGGACAAATTAGAAGCAGAAGAACATTCGAGGACGGGAAAGGGGAGCGCCTGCAAGGAGCTGATACCGGTACCGATAATAAGATACCGTTATAATTGAATTGTTACGTATATACACGTGCTAGAACTATGATAATGACGTAACAACCGGCAGTATCTAGAACGCAAAAACGTTGAACTGTTTCACTCGAGTTCGGGTGGCCATACTAAATTGTTTTGAGGGGCGTAATTCGCCCGTGGGGCGCATTTTGGGAAAAACGATTTGAGTCTGTATTGACTGGCGAATGACATCGTCCAAATGGAACAGATTGGGAGAGAGGCGGAAATAATTTGGGGACCTTGGGAAAATTCGCGTTTGTTCAAAGCTAGGTCATGCGTACTCAGTTAAACGAAGCGAGCCATCAAAAAGCCAAAAGCCTATTAAAACATAAGGACGTAATGTGGATTGTTAGTATCGAGGTAACTTTACCAAAATTGGGAAAAGATTGAAATTAAATTGTCTTGAAACACCATAATATCATATATATAAATCTTTTTCTATGTCAGGAAGAATATTTTCTTGATGCATCTGCGAAACGGGTAAATAAGGGGATAGATCGAGCAAAAAAAATACGGATTCCTGGCCAATCATAATAGCGCATTGCTGAAATTCATATCAAATCAAAGAAAACGTATTTTAAAGTATACCGTACAGGAAGTCCCAAACTTGAGAGTTTATTGCCGGGTATTAAACTTTGTTTGGAAAAATTACCGTGAATTTTGAGGCATTCGTTTGAAAAAGAAGCGCTTGATCAGAGCGGAAATCAATAAGAATTCTGTTGAGATACTGGAGTTGATGGATAATTTATCTTGAATTTCGTCATTTGGAGTTGTTTCGTTGGGTTGGTTATACATTTTATAACACTTGAAAAACTGAAGGCTGTAATAAAACACCATGGTGTTAGAAACCTGGCCTCATAATACCCGTTTCCGGTCACGAGAGGGGGCAAATACTGACAAATGAGACATTACTGATAGTTTCAAAGTGAAAACCTCTAGGTATGCCCTGAACTAATCATAAATTCATAATTATAAATTGTCTAGAAATGAGCAGAGGAATAGCGTGGAAAAACTTCACAACTGCGAAAACGTCATAACTGCGCAAAAATGTAATTTCAATAATAAAATTAAAATATACAATGACTATACGAATTACCAGAATTAAACTAGTATCAAAACAAATCGTGCTGCATTTTCAAAATTATCTCCCCATTTAAGGCCCCATTTAAAAGTAATGTCAAAATAGATATGGTACAAATTTTAATACCTGTCCAATTTTTTGCAAGGTTGGCAAAGGCAAGATCCCTATTCTGAATTACAATAAGGAAAAGGGCGGATAATATGCCACTGAAAGTTCTGTTTGAATTTTTGAAAGTCGATACTGGACTGGGTGAATTTCAAGATTATACTGTAGGGCAGGGATACTCAACTGGCGGGCCGAATCCGGACCTTCCCAGTATTCGATTCGGACCGTACTTAATTTCTTATTTCAGATCAGGGGTGTGCAACAGGCGGCCGGCGGGCCATAACCTGGCCCGCCAAGACAATAAGTCTGGCCCTTGTCAACACTCCGATATTTTCCTACCAAGCATCAAATTCTAACCTAACAGTTTATGTTTAAAAAAGCGCACACACGGGTTAAAATCCATAATTTTAAATCTTTCGTCTTTTTGCCTTTGTTACTGTAAGACTAAGCTATAGCCTTTTTGTGGTGAGAATTTTTTAATTCATTGTGTACCCGAAGGAAATTGAATTTTTTGAATGGCCCGGCTAGATGTCAGAAGTTTGTTATATAGCCCGCCGACAAAAAATGTTGCACACTCCTGTTTTAGATCATTGGCCCCACTTTGGATATGTGAAGGCTTTATTTATGACTTTATAGTTTTAATGGTTATTTTATAATTTGCTCATATTTGCATTTGACTATTTATAAAAATGACTGTAACGAAATAATAAACAATGTGAATAGCGCTATCTTGATCAGCGAATAATCATTATACGGCCAGAGAAGTGAGCGTTCAAGGATGTCAAAATAGAATAGACCCAAGTTATTTTAAAGTTTTGTTTACAGATCTTTGGTAAAACAGTTGAGAAGACCTGCTGTACTATATTGTAAAAGAAACAGATAATTGTATGAGGTTATGTATATTCGACGGCCATGCGTAACTGAAGAAAAATTAAACAATATTGAGTAATATAAAAATTCTAATTAAATGGAACTATTACATAATAATATATGATTTGGAACGAGTAATTATGACATCATTATTCATTTATGACGTCATTTTTGTTTGATTCACCAGTGTTTCAATAGAAACAAATCAATGATTTGATGAAGATTTCGTCACTTTTAGAAAAAATGTAAATCGATCAAGATTTCATTGTCTTTCGTTTTTTTTATATTCGTTAAAGAGTAATAATGGGCATGCCTGGGCATTTATAATCACTGAAAAACGCAAAGAGTTTAGGTTTAGAGAACTGGGTGTTTTACGACTAAAATTTAGAAGGCTCTTGTTTTTGTAATTGTTAAAGTTCCATATTTTTCTTTTATGCTGGGGCTGGGTGTAGAACTTAATAAGTGTTCATGTGTGGCGGATTTAAGATTGGGAACACTTTGTATGGCATTCAGATAATAGTGGGTCAGAGCGTTGTTCGTCATTGATGAATGGAAATATTCTAAAATCCAGGAAATCAAACCTCTTTTGGTTCATAACATCGTTTTCCAGTAATTTTTAGGACTTCAATTTGAGAATAGGGACATTTATTATTACATTCGAATGATTGCGGCTACTAGACCAAAACCTTATTCGTAGAAAATTAGTGAACATGTTTAAAAGCCATAGACAAAACACTTCTATTTATCTTATTTAAAGTACTTTTTTCCTATTTTACAGCGTTTTTCAGAAATAACTAATACCCTAATTGAAAATAGGAACTAATTGAGCCATAGCAGCCGCCTATTTCCATGTAGACTTTTATGTATTTTTCCAGCATTTTTCAGTGATTACAAAAAACCGGTTTTGGAAATGGGAAAACTTTTTATGACATCCGCATTATCGTAAGTTTACAGTTTTTCTAAAAGTGACGATTGATGGTTCGATCACCAAACTCGACAAGTATCTTCTTCATTTGGATACATGTTGTCTGTTCCTTTGCTGCAACTGTAAGCATCGCCGAATTTGTCGAAGTTGGAGAGAGATCCGATAACCCTGTCGATATCAAAAAACTACGTATGAGAAGCAGTTTACCATTGTTTCTGATACATTCTCATCGATCTAATTTTTTGCGAGTTTTTGCACGTCTTAGCTAGATTTTTTATTGTTTATTTCCGGGTTTTGCACGGTTTTGAATTATAATATATTGTAACTCTTCGTAAATTCGTGAAGTTATTCAGTGGTATTTAAAAAGTGGAATTCTCAACTAACTGTCGATGACCCTGTCAATATAAAAAGTTCAATCAATCGGATCAACTTGTGTCCTTTCTCCCCTATCAGTGTTTAATCATTCTTGGGAATCATGAGCTTGTTCAGGGCTCTTCAAACTTGGGGTACTGACCCCCCCATTGGGTTGCAAAAGGGCTCAACAGGGGTCTTGGTAAAATAATTTCCGACTCTTACTTGTATTTAAACAAAAAATTGATCAAAGTTTAAAGATTTGGAACCATTACTGAGACCCATCATCACCGAAACTGAACCGAGATTCTATCTCTTGTGCGAGAATATGCAAGCTCATCTGTCTCATTGAAGGCCTTGTTAATTTTATTCTAGTTTTCAAGAGTCACGACAACATTTGGCCGTGTCAAGTAAGTCACGATGAAAAAAGTTTGAAGGACACTGAACTTGAACTCTTTATGTCTATATAAAAATGCTCTTGCATAGAGGGAATTGCCTTTATTATATTTACCTATAAATTCCAGGGCTATGCGAGTCCGTTGCAGCCAATCTTGTCGCATACTCCGGCCTGTACACACCACACCAAACCTGAAAAACATTACACACCGGCATTAAAACCGGGCATTTTCGAATACCTGATGGTTTCAAATATTTTTTTTTAAAATCGAATCTCGAGTACTTTAAAAAAAATCAATTGTATTTGACTTCTTATTGTGATGGGTCCTCCAGGCACATAATATGACTCTTCATAAGTACTCGACATTATCAAATAAATACAAAGCATATTATGTGACCTGGTCATATATGATTTTAGTACAAAGTGCAGTTTTTTATATAATTAGTAACATTATCCATTTAAAATGATGCCAATATTTTGCGTTGGCTAATAAATAATTTATTAATTTTTAGAGTCCTGCTCTGTTGGTAAGTTTTTAAAAATATGTAAAGCGTGAACAAGTAACATCATTGTACGCCAATATGCAATTTACATTATTATTTGCAGATATGATATATAAGTCAGATTGTCTCTCTATATTTTACAATTTTTGAATAATACATATTGTCTAACTGCACCGTTTTCTATGATTTTTCATGAGCACCCGACATTATCAAATACGTACAAAGCATATTATGTGATCTGGTCACACATGCTCTTGACATTAGGTACAGTTGTTTAAGTAATTAGTAGCATTATATCTTAACTTGATGATTTTATATTGCTTTGGTTAACTACATTGCACGCAAATATGCGATTTGCGGTGTGGTGTGTCAGTGTGTTCTTAACTTTTTATAAACTTTAATGAAAGTTGTAGGTTAGACAAGTGAATATTTGATTTTAAATTCACTCTTTCGATATTAAGTCGTAGTCGTAACGTAATTTGAATTCTCAGTATTTAAATTATGTTAACTGTCGAGATTCCAAATTCCATAAAATTATTTGAAGATATTGGCAATTTGAAGGTATTCGCAAAAGATTCCGAATATGAAATGGAAAATGGATTGATATTAACTTTAGTTATTAACATAAGGTCCATGCTGAGTGGTTTGTAATGTGCTACTGATATAGTGATTTGAAATTGTAATAAAATGAAGATTTGATAAATATCAATTATTTATCTTTCTAGATTACACCAAATTTTCAGGAAGTAAAGCTGAACCAATTAGAGGTAAGCCTTTTAAAATATCGATAATTGAACTAGAAACTACTACATTTTATGCCCTTATGACTTTACGGTAGTTATATATAATGTTGTTTGAGATATCTTGTGAGATATATAAGTATGGTCATTTTTCCCACTGATATTCCGTTGGTCATAAGCCCCAACAGTTTAAACACATCATGAAATTGACACATATACAGATATTAAAAAAATATATATTTTTAGTCAACATAACTTTGAAAATATTATTAACTCTCTTACCTTGTCTCCGACCAATGCTAAATACTTCTAGAGGTTCATATTTATGGGTGACTGAAGTGAAGCTTCTGCAGATAAATCGTTGCTTAACATCAACTGTAATTATGAACCAACCTAAAAATTAAATCTTTTTAGAAATCTTTGAAAAACTAAAATTTTAAAATATTAGTTATATTATAACAGATACCAGTACCAACAGTGCAAGTTAAATTTTTCTGCAGTTCGGAGCCGTGCTACCCCATTATTTGTGACTGTACCTCAGGAATATTTTATTACAACTCTCTTGTTGCTTTATTCCGATATTTTTTTATTGGTAGTTAGCAGCAGTGAGTCGTCTTTGACTGACAATGAAAAAGGTATGTAAAGTTTTTGGTTTCATCATACATAAAGGTCTATAAACTTTTTTGGTTACCGCTGTTCAGGGAGTAGTAAAACAATCAAGAACTCACCCAAATATCGAAAATCAAAATTAAGATAAAAAAAAATTAAAACAATTCTATTCGAATCCTATTGTTATGGGGTCTCTGCGAATATTCTCCATCCGTTGAACTAGATAATACTATACTATTAATTCAATAACTATTTTTAATGGAAAGTAGTTTGCTTTTTGAAGTACTAATCACTGCAATTTTTCTGTTGCTTTATTTGATATATTTTTTTTTTGGTAGATAGCAGCAGTGAGTCATCTGACGAAGAACGTGGAGGCGTCGTTGCGGAAAACATTCCAGGTGTGGCCAACTAGATTATTATATAATAATTCAATAACTAAAAATATTTCGACAGAGATCGTTTAAAACAGCGGTTCCCAAACTTTGTTCGTGTGGCGTCAATTTATCAGGATATTAACTCATGGCGCACTTACACGAAAAAATGGTGCTTTTTAATAAAACTCAATTTTGTGATGGTAAATGTGTACTTTATGCCTTTTATTAAAGTTTATCTAAACATGTATGCCTACCGAATAACGGCGAAAGGTAAACTCTTTTCTTTGCTTGACTCGCTGCGGCCCTTTGAGAACCACTGGTTTAGAATATCAATCACCACCTAGCCATGAGACGGCGCGGAACACCACCACCATTGCGATTACCATTATCCTTGTAGACTAGAGGGTTTGTTTCATACTCAGAATGTTTAGAATTGCAAACATGATTCAGACACAACCAGCAAGCAGTGATTTATGTAATGGCGTAAGTGTGCATTTTTTCTCCGACAACGTTTCAATAATTTCGGTACCCTTGGCATTCTGATACCGATTGTATGAATCCTACTTCATTGCGCGACATTTTATATCTATTCCAACCCAGAATAGTAGACGAACAAGTGTGGCGGGTACTTTTCTTGCATTTTGAAAAACACCAAGATGACTAGTCATCTTTTTCACTATAGAAGGAAGAGGATCAAGTTATCAGGCTAGCAATCGTATCATGACTGATAAGCATGGACAAACATCAGTTAAATACGACGAGGAAGACGAGAGAATGGAAATTGATTATGTCGATGACGGTAAGTTTTTATTTAGTTTTCATTATTTGATGCAAAATTTGTAAATATAACTGATCCAAGCTCGAATATATATATGCCACGAGATTTGCATAACAGTACCGGTACCCAGTACTTTGAATCCTTATGAAGAATGTGTTAAAAGATGGAAAAGCATGGTCAGTTTTTTCTTAGTCCCCATCAGTCATATATCGCTTCCACGCACAAGTTGATCACTCACTTGTAATGATGAAATTACATAACCTCAAACAATAACCTGGGTGCTTTGAATTCAGGCACACCCGATTTGTATAACATCGGCTATTTTTTTCTACAGAAGATCATCCATTCATGACCCCGGGTAAGTGACATCCTTAAATTTGTTCCCGTTTTGCTAATCCCAGACTGACAATAGCCGATAAAATGCTCATTAACGGTTTTAAACAATAATTAATTTGAACCATTCATATCCCATACACAATAATACCGACAGTAAATTGGCCATAATAGCGCTCTAGCGTTAGACCAAATTACGACTGACGGGCCGGATTTACCATTGAAAATATAGATACAAATAACGTCACAATGGCCCAGATTGTCAAATTGCGCTTATTATTATATAAATGTTAATTAGGCCTAGCTGTTGTAAATAAACTGTTTTTCATTCATAACCATATTTTGAGTTTGGAGCCTCCTGTCCAGTGCAATAAATCAAATCCATTATCTTACTCAGAAATGTAATTGCCCGCCCCTGCGTTTGTAGGCGTCGTAGGTTATATAGATCAATGTCCTACCTCGATGGCACAACTTATGTCGTAATGGTTAGACATCGCCGATCCATACATACACAAATTATTACTTTTTACCACACAACACTTTCTTTTATGACAATGACGACTTTTATAGTCTTTTGTTTTAAGTAAATGTGCTAAAATAGAAATTGACTCCTGACATAACTGTTGAAATACATTCAGGCGAAGAAGATAATGATGATACTTCGCATGATAATCGTCAGCAACCTCGAGGTAAGACTTCCATTAGCCAATTCGGAAGAAAATCAAATTTTTTTTCGGAATTCAAATAAATTTTTCAAGTGCGATCAATAAACCCCCGACTCAATAGAAAATTTATTAGTGTAAAAGAAATATTTGAACATTCAGAATTGTAGAAGAAGTATTAAAAATTCAGTATTGTAAAAGTTTGAATATCGCAGAGAAATTATTAATATAATTTAACGTTATTGAAAAACAGATTTACAGCAATCCATAACAATTCATTGATTTTAGAATGCTTTAAAGCGACAAGGATTTGTCGATTTTATATTCGTTTAATTGTATCCATCATACCCATTCGTCAGGCTTGGCATAAATTAGCACAAAGTTATTAGATTTTTTTTTGTGTGCTGTTGTAGGTCCCGGACGTGAAGGACCGCAGGTTGAAGAACCACATGGCGACGAACAAGAAAATAAAGAAGAAGATGAAGGTACTGTCGTCACTGTGGTTCGAGATGACGACGACGAACATCAAAGAAAGGCGTTCAAGTCCAGGGAAGAGGAAAAAAAGAAGTAATGAACGATTGAATGAATTTTCAATTACATATCATCTTATTGGAATTTTTAGTTATCAAATATATGTGTTTGAACTAGCAATGATAGAATGAATTTTAAATAACATATCGTTGTACCTAATTTTAGGTTTTGAATATACGCGTTGATATGATTGAATGAATTATATGTCATCTTGTTGAAATTTTGGGTTATTGAATATACCATCAAACTAGCAATATATAACCATCCTATAATAATAAATTTGTATAATTTATTGAATGGATATATTCAGGTTAACTCAGGTAAACAGTAAAGGTGGAATTACGAAGATAGAGATCCAAGAGTTAGCTTTTGGAAATTGTGGTTGAGTTAATAAGACGCGCTTCCAGTAACGGCAGAGGGTGATATAGGTTTATCATAGGTCGAACAATTTATCAGCTCGCATGAAAAAGCTAAAAAATATTTGAAGGTTTCGTACACGGTTTTAAAATAATACCTGGCACAAAGATCGATTTCATTCAAGCTGCCGCTAGATAATCTGCTCCAAACGTCCTCACCAAAACCGACAGGTACATTGAACAACTGTGTTTAGAAACTAAGTCATCTAAGTCACCATCACAAAAAAGGGGGGATGAAAAAAACAATGCTCAATTATAAAGATAGAAAGGCCGAGACGAGATATTTTATCCCCGGTTTTCCGAAACCCCATTCTGAACAAAGCGAAAGTATGCTGAACATAGCTGTATAAAATAGATTCAATAAACAAAAACATATAAACCTTGTGAGATATATTTAATTAAATACTTGACCCTATTTGTTTCCTCGAGCATCGACTTCCTTGCTTACATAATTAGCTAATCGGCGAGATGCAAAATGTGACGTGACAATATACGTTTAGCAGCCATTCGGGCACTTCAGACAGATTTTTAGGCATGGCTGTAAACATTAGCTCGTTTTTCAATTTTGGCATGCTTTTTGTTAGTTTTTACTTGTGTTGCGGAAATTCGAGTACAAATCAAATATCTCTATGACCATTTTGCCCTTCTAGTAGTTTTAGTTTAGTTGTAGTAATCAAAAATCAAAGATCTGACACATTGAGCGAGATTTATAATATTCATGAAAAGTGAAAAAAGTAACATCAAAATCATTCTGGTCAGAGTGGTTTGCAGGTATCTGGACTGAATGGATTTATAGATGAATAAATAGTTGATATTAATTGATGTTACCTTATTACTACAGCTGCACTTCCGTTTAGAGGTGAGTGTTTGTAATATACAATCTGAATGTAATATTGCTTTACTTACGTAGATACGGCACTGCTTAGTCGGGTAAGAAAATTGATACTTTAGAAAATTTGTACTTTACCACGTTAAAAAAATTTTAACAGTCCTATAGCACTGAAAAGGTCGGGTCCAATGACTCCCGACAGTATGAACTCAATGTACTCAAAGTCTCGTGACAAACGGACTTTTGGTGAATGTTTACCGCGAATTTTTTCTGCATATCCCCAGGACAAATGCAGTGTTATATCTCTCGTTGTAGTACTTCCTGTTCCACGTTGACCCCTCACCTTACAAAAAGCAACAGCAAACTCATTCTGTATATCTATAATAGTATTTTATAAAATTAATATCACACAACAATCAAAAATATGAAATAAAAATTGAAAAATTAAAACAAAACAGAATCACATGGTTGGTTTGTCATACAAAGGGTGTCGCCGCGACTAGATTGTCAGTGGTTTCCAAAAGTTGATTTACCGGGACAAATTAGAAGCAGAAGAACATTCGAGGACGGGAAAGGGGAGCGCCTGCAAGGAGATGATACCGGTACCGATAATAAGATACCGTTATAATTGAATTGTACGTTATATACACGTGCTAGAACTATGATAATGACGTAACAACCGGCAGTATCTAGAACGCAAAAACATAAAGGGTTGAACTGTTTCACTCGAGTTCGGGTGGCCATACTAAATTGTTTCGAGGGGCGTAATTCGCCCGTGGGAAGCATTTTGGGGAAAACGGTTGAGTCTATATTGACTGGCAGTCGTTTTACAAGGGGAAATGCCGTGACAAGATTGACCTATGTGCTGAGAATAGTACAGATGGGCTACATGAGTAAGCAATTTGGGGACATTGTGATAATTGGCATTGCTCAAAGCTATGTCATGTGTAATCATTCAGAAGTACAACTCAGCTCCGAGGGCGCTCCAGAAATATGAACATCAAGATGTCGCACAACCTGAATCATAACCGTACACACATATACTATGTTCAGGTTGTGCGCCATCTTGGTGCACATACTTCTAGAGGTTCGCTCCAAATGCCAAAAAAGTGAATAAAATATGCAGACGTAATGTGGATTTTCAGTAGCGGAGGAGACAGCTTTGCCTTCACTTGTAGAGATTGAAATTAAATTTGCTTTGCCTTTTGCTATGTCAGTGAGAATAATTGCTTCAAAGGAATAGCATGGAAAAAAATTAATAAGAAATGTCACAACTACGCAAAAATGTAATTTCCAGGACAAAATTAAAATATACAATGACCATACGAATTACATAAAATAAAAACTAGTAAACGAGCAAAATAAATCGTGCCGCATTTTGAAAATTATCCTCATATTCAAGGCGCCGTTTAAAATTAATTGCCGAAATTTGATGGGCTACCTTTCCAATTTTATGCAAAGGAAACCCCGTTTGCTCAATTAAAAAGGACGGATAGAATACCACTCAAAGTTATGTGTAAACTTAATTTCAAGACTATACTGTAAGGCAGGGTTACTCAACTGGCGCGCAGGGCTACTGCTGGCTACCGCGTTCCGAATACTAACCTTGCAAGTTATTCGAGGCGCACCTTAGTCTTTATTTTAAATCATCGGCCCCACTTAGGACATGTGAAGGTTTCCTTTTATTAAATGACTTTACAGTTTTAAAGTTTATTTTATAATTTGCTCATTTTTTTACTTGACCATTTATGAAAGTACTTTGAAGCCATATTAAACAATGCGAATAGCGCCATTTGAGTAGCTAATAAAATAATTATTCAGCCGAAGAAGTGCGCGTTTGAAAGATTTAAAAAAAATCTTTAAAAAGACCGGACCCCAGTAATTTTGAAATTTTGTTTACAGATCTATGTTAAAATAGTTGAGAAAGCCCAGTTGTACTCATATTGTAAAGAAAATAGATAATTTCATGAGGTTATGTGTATCTGACGGCCATGCGTAACTAAAGAAAAATTAAACAATATTGAGTAATATAAAAATTTTAATTAAATGGAACTATTACATAATAATATATGATTTGGAACGAGTAATTATGACATCATTATTCATTTATGACATCATTATTGTTTGATTCACCAGTGTTTCAATAGAAACAAATCAATAATTTGATGAAGATGTCGTCACTTTCAGAAAAAATGTAAATCGATCTATATTTCATAGTCTTTCGTTTTTTTATATTCGTTACAGAGTAATAATAGGCAAACCTGGGCAGTTATAATCACTAAAAAACGCAAAGGGTTGAGGTTTAGGCTTTTATGACATGCGGATGATAGTGGATCGGAGCGTCATTGATGGATGGAAATATTCTAAAATTCAGGAAATCAAACTCATTTCGGTTCTTAACATCGTCTTTCAGTGATTTTTAGGACCTCAGTATGAGAATGGGGACACTTATTATGACATTCAAATAATTGCGGCTAGTAGACCAAAACCACATTCATAGAAAAATAGTAAACATGTTTAAATAGAAAAAAACACTTCTATCTATCTTATTTATTGTAATATTTCTTATTTCACAGCGTCCTCAGGAATTTCTAATACCCGAATTTGAGATCGTGTGATTACAGTTTTTCTAAAAGTGACGATTCATTGTTTGAATCACCAAACTCGACAAGTTGTCTTCTTCTTTTGGATACATGTTATCTGTTCCTTTGCTGCAACTGTAGGCTTCACCGAATTTGTCGAAGTTGGAAAGAGATCCGATAACCCTGTCAATATAAAACGTTTAATCATTCTTGTGAATCAATAACTTTTGCAGGGCTCTTCAAACGGTACTCCCGTAGTGTATCTAACAAGTTAGGGTTGGGGCATAATTTTTTCTCGATTTTTCCTTATTTTAACTTTATTACGAAGCTAAGAGAATGCCTGTGTTAGCCAAATGAATATACCCCTGCTCAATAGGATTCAGTCCCTTTACACAACTTGAATGTAAAATAGGCGAACAAAATCAGTTACCTCCATATTGGTACCTACGCGTAATTCTTCTGGAGCGCCCCCAAACTGGGGTTCCGACCCGCCGTAGTTTGAGGGAGGGCTCAATAGTGGTCGCGCTAAAATATTCAACTTGTGTTGAAACAAATTTTAATGATTTGGAACCACCATCACCGAGATAAAGCCAAGTTTCGATCTCTCTTCGATGCAAGCACATCAGTCTCATTGAAGGCGTTGTTAATTTATTCTAGTTCCCGAGGGTCACGGAAATTCTCCCATGTCAAGTAAAGTCAAGATGAAAAAGTTTGAAGGTCACTGAACTTGAACTCTTTATACTCTTTACTGGGTTTTTAAAAATTTTCTTTAGATTTATATTAACCTGTATTTTACAACCACTGTGAATTCAGCGGAATTTCAGCGGGAAAATATTCTGCAGTTTTCAACCGGTTCCCATGCGGAAAATAATCTCTCATTACAATATTTATAAGGGATAAATGGATCCCATTTGAAATAATAAGTTCCGAAGGAAACAACTCAGACCAAAATATAAGTTTAAGCACATTTAGCTGGTAGTGGTCATAACAACATACATAACTGTATATCACATAAAACAGAAAAACTAAATTGTATTAGAATATATTTGTAGAATGAAAAAAAATACAAAATAAAAATAGGCTACATTTGATGGGAACACAAAAATATCGGAAAATATTTTTTTCAATGTTTCATGCAAACTCTAGGGTTCGAGACCAAATGCGAATATGATCCGCAAAGTTCCGATCATTTTTAACAGTAATTTTGAATAGTACCAATAGTGAAAAGTATCATATATAAAAGTTGAAAGGAACAAAGCGGGACTTTAGAATTTATTGGGTTTCAAATACAGGCGAAAAACAAGATTTTGTGAAATTTGATGCGTACTCGGTATATCGAGGCCGAATTCGAATATGTTGCTTTATATGCAGACAACTTTTGACAACGATTTCGATCACATGTACAAGTCAAGTGTCTAACACTAGAGTATGATTAACAGCGGAACAAAATATGGCCCTTCAAAAATTGACGAAAAATCAGATTTTTCTATATTTCGTACGAACTCAATGATTCGATGCCGAATTCGAATATGATCCGCAAAGTGCCGACAACTTTAAACAGTAATTTTGAATAGTACCAATAGTGACAAGTATTATATATAAAAGTTGAAGGGAACAAAGCGGGACTTTATGATTATTTGGGGCTTCAAATACAGGCCAAAAACAAGATTTTCTGAAATTTGATGCGTACTCAACATACCGATGCCGAATTCGAATATGATCCGCAAAGTGCCGACAATTTTTAACAGTAATTTTGAATAGTACAAATAGTGATAAGTATTATATATAAAAGTTGAAGGGAACAAAGCGGGACTTTATGCTTTATGGGGCTTCAAATACAGGCCAAAAACAAGATTTTCTGAAATTTGATGCGTACTCGATATATCGAGGCCGACTTCGAATATGTTGCTTTATATGCCGACAACTTTAGAAAACGATTTCGATCACATGTACAAGTCAATTGTCTAACACCAAAGTATGATAACATCAGAACAAAACTTAACAAAATATGTACCTTCAAAAATTGACAAAAAATCAGAATTTGCTATATTTCGTGCAAACTTAATAATTCGATGCCGAATTCGAATAGGATCCGAAATATGACGACAACTTTCAACAGTAATTTTGAATAGTATCAATAGTGAAAAGGATTATATATAAAAGATGAAGGAAACAAAGCGGGACTTTATGATTTATGGGGTTCAAATACAGGCCAAAAACAAGATTTTCTGAAATTTTATGCGTACTTGATATATCGAGGCCGAATTCGAATATGTTGCTTTATATGCCGAGAATTTTGACAACGATTTCAACCAAATGTACAAGTCAAGTGTCTAACACCAAATTATGATCAACAGCGGAAGAAAACTTAACAAAATATGTACCTTCAAAAATTGACAAAAAATCAGAATTTGCTATATTTCGTGCGAACTTAAAAATTCGATGCCGAATTCGATGATGATCCGCAATATGCCGACAACTTTCAACAGTAATTTTGAAAAGTATCAACAGTGAAAAGTATGATATATAAAAGTTGAAGGGAACAAAGCGGGACTTTATGATTTATGGGGCTTCAAATACCGGCCAAAAACAAGATTTTCTGAAATATGATGCGAACTCGATATATCGAGAACAAATACGAACATGTTGCTTTATTTGCCAACAACTTTTGACAACGATTTCGATGACATGTACAAGTTAAGTGTCTAACACCAAAGTATGATCAACAGCGGAACAAAACTTAACAAAATATGGCCCTTAAAAAATGGACAAAAAAATCAGATTTTTCTGTGTTTCGAGCGAACTCAACGATTCGATGCCAAATTCGAACATGATCCGCAGAGTGCCGAGAACATTAAACAGTATTTTTGAATAGTACCAATAATGAAAAGTATTATATATAAAAGTGGAAGGGAACAAAGCGGGACTTTACGATTTATGGGGCTCCAAATACAGGCAAAAAACAAGATTTTCTGAAATTTGATGCGTACTCGATATATCGAGGCCGAATTCGAATATGATCCGCAAAGTGCCGACAATTTTTACAGTGGCAATGATGATTTGCGATTTCGTGAACTGATGATTTGATGTCATCTACGAATGGTTATGTGGCAGTGTATCTACGTTTAAATATATATAATTCAGACTCTTTTCATATCGTTGCGAACCCCCTGTGCAGCCATCACGGACCTCCAGGGGTCCGCGGACCCCAGTTTGGGAAACGCTGGGTTAGGGTATTGCCAGCGCCCTTTCCTGCATCATATTCCCTAGAAACTAACTGACCAACCCTGAACCAGATCAGAGAAAATAAGTAGTGTAAAATAAGCATAAAAAGTGTGAATAAGAAGGTTTTTCAGGTCAAATGTCAATTTTAGTTGAGTAGGTCTCACCTGCGCCATACTGAGAAAGAACAATTGGTTTTGTGTGAATTCTTGTAACTCTGGCAACAGAAGATCTGCATCGTTCTGTTGTATCCATGTCTGGTAAGCCTGAGAGATTAGAAAAGCAAAATGAATTTAAGGTAATAGTACCTTGCTACAATTTTATGAATCAACTCATCCTATAATGAGCGTAAGAGAGTTCAGCATCCAAGCGAAATTAATGTATATATATGTGTTTAAATCAGGGATTCTCAACCTGGGGTTCGCGAACCCCCAGGGGTTCACGAGAAGATTTTCAGGGGTACTTGGATGGCAGTCGAGTTTTTGCACGTTGCTGTTTTTTATATCCATTATTACTGCCACAGGAAAATTCGTGCCCATTGAAACTAGAAGTTAATTTAAATGTAGATTTTCCCCGATGTTGCGTTGTTGTGATTGTGACGCAACAATGTTAAATCACGGCTTTGCAGGCAAACTGTGAAATCTCCAAAGACAGCGTGCTGCGAGCATTGGAGAAAGTGCTTATGCCTATTAAAACCTTTTTTAAGTTTTAAGAATTCATTAGTTTAGAGGAGGACTAGAGCAGAGGAGGACTAGAGCAATAATATCAACACGAAAATTTAAATTTGTTACATCTTGTCAATGAATTGTTGTTGTTGTTGTTGCTGCAACAAATTGTTCGCGTTGATTGTTTTGTGACTCGGGGGGTACTTGACAGAAAAAAGGTTGAGAACCCTGGTTGAAAGGATCTTCATCGGAATATGAGTCACTTTCTGAATACCAGCCATTTTCAATGAGGAAGGATATATGCTAGACTAACGATGAATTGAAAAATGACTTAGTACCGGTGATATAATATCGGCAACTATTGTTAGGAAATAGGAGGTAATACCATCGGCCCCAACAGCTTTACCCTTTTTCAGGTTCCTGATTACATAGAGAACTTCCGAAGGTGTTGTTAATTCAAGCAAGAAAGAGGTCTGCGAAGGTACACCTAAGAATTCGGTACATGGTTTTGAGCAACGTGCGATTTTATCTGCAAGTTTCTTCCCTATGGTCGGTGGCCACTTGAACTGGATCAGAAACTGTGTAACCATTTTCTAGTATCAATTCTGAG